CTGGGCATGGCTAGTCTAGTGAAGAGAAGGACCAGGGGTTACATGATTGCAGTCTTCCAATATTTGAGGGGCTGCCACAGAGAGGAAGGGTCAAGCTATTCTCCAAAGCACGTGAAGGCCAGACAAGGCACAATGGATGGAAACTGATCAAGGAGAGATTTCAACCTAGAAATAAGGAGGAATTTTCTGATAATGAGAACAATCAACCCATGGTAGAGCTTGCCTTCAGAAGTTGTGGGTGCTTCATCACTAGAAGCTATCAAGAAGAGACTACACAGCCACTTGTCAGAAATGAATAGGGTTTCCTGCTTGAGTAGGGGGTTGGACCAGAATCACTAGATGATCTACAAGGTTATTCTATTATTATTGTCTATAAAACACCGATTCCTTTTTTTTTTTTTGCTTGGGATATCTGTTTTATAATTTTCCCCACCTCAAAAGCAAATAGCGGTAACCGTTTGGATTTAATGACTGGAACACTGCCACTTGGAATCTCCCGATTGCAAAAAGATTCTTAAGAAGTTGGGAGGTGATTTCCTTTTGTGTGTGTGTGTGTGTGTGTGTGTGTGTGTGTGTGTGTGTGTGTGTGTGTGACCTCCTCTCAGAGGTTTCCTTCCTTGGACCTGCAGCAGAAATGTTACTCTGTGTGTTACTTGTGCTGCCCTGACAAAGTCTGTGGTGGGCACATCTTGACATCTTCTTCATGCCAAAGCTAGAACATAGATGAAAAGGTGATTATTCTACCACTCCTACAACAGGAGAAAGTTTTGTAGCGGTGACAATTGACATTCTTTTTTCATCTAACACCTTTGAGATCAAAAATGTTCGAAACAGACCCTCATCTGACCAAAAGTCACAAAGGCATGGATTTCGCCCCCCCCACCCCCCGCCAAAACAGAGGTGGGTTTCAGCAGGTTCTGACCAGTTCTGGAGAACTGGTAGCGGAAATTTTGAGTAGTTCGGAGAACCGGTAGTAAAAATTCTGACTGGCCCCGCCCCCATCTATTCTCTGCCTCCCAAGTCCCAGCAGATCGGGAGGAAATGGGGATTTTGCAGTAACCTTTCCCTGGATTGGGGAGGGAATGGAGATTTTACAGTATCCTTCCCTTGCCATGCCCACCAAACCACACCCACCAAGCCATACCACGCCCACCAAGCCACACCCACAGAACTGGTAGTAAAAATTTTTTGAAACCCACCACTGCCCCAAAGCCTTGAAGTTCCTACTGCTTATTATTTTTGCAATTAATCCAAAGTGAATTCTGATTCTGGTTTCATCAAGACCAACGTGTTTTCTTGTGAATCCTGTGAATCTACTCTATTTCTGAACACTTTTTCAAATCCCTCATATCAGTGGTGGGTTTCCAAATTTTTAACTACCGGTTCTGTGGGCATGGCTTGGTGGGTGTGGCTTGGTAGGCGTGGCAGGGGAAGGATACTGCAAAATCCCCATTTCCTCCCGATCAGTTGGAACTCAGGAGGCAGAGAATAGATGGGGGCGGAGCCGGTGTTATTTATCGGTTCTCCGAACTATTCAAAATTTCCGCTACTAGTTCTCCAGAACTGGTCAGATGTTGTAAATCAGAGGTCCAGGCTTTTGCTCTGATCAAAGATGTCTCTCCCGCTCTTGCAGAGCTTTATTTTTTATACAGTTTTTACAGGCAGACAAAAAGGCAGGACAGTAACAGCGTTCTAATTGATAGAAATTATTCACCCCGCCTCTCAAGATGCCATCCTCTCTGAAGGTGAGATAATACAGATCAAAGCCAAAATGAGATCATAGGCATGAGCTAAGGCAGTGTGCTGCCCTTAGCCTGGCATTACGACCTTTGACCTACCTCTACAGTCAGAACCTGCTGAAACCCACCTCTGCTTCATATGATAACAACGTGCTGCATTCCAAGGGCTTTTTTCTATAAAGTATAGGTAGTCCTCGACTTACAACAGTTTGCTTAGTGACCGTTCAGAGTCAACAATGGCATTGAAAAAAGTGACTTATGACCATTTTTCACACTTAACGACTGTTGCAGCATCCCCATGGTCATGGGATCAAAATTTGGACGCTTGGCAATTGCCTCACATTTATGACGGCTGCAGTGTCCCGGGGGTTGTGTGATCCCCTTTTGCGACCTTCTGACAAGCAAAGTCAATGGGGAAGCCAGATTCACTTAACAACCATGTTACTACCTTAACAACTGCAGCGATTCACTTAACAATGGTGGCAAGAAAGGTCATAAAATGGGGCAAAACTCACTTAACAAATGTTTCACTGAGCCACAGAAATTTTGGGCTCAAATGTGGTCGTAAGTTGAGGAATATAGTCCATACTCCTATTAATTCTAATGAAGATGCAGTCCATTGCCTAATTAACCAGGCTGAATGATTTTTTAAAGTCTGGAAATATCCAGGTAATGTTCGGAAGTGGCTCAGATACCTCCTTAACAGGGGTGAAATTCAGCAAGTTCTGACAGGTTCTGCAGTACTGGTAGAGGAAATTTTAAGCAGTTCGGAGAACTGGCAAATACCACCTCTTGTTGGCCCCAGAGTAGGGTGGGAATGGAGATTTTGCAATATTCTTCCCCTGGAGTGGGGTGGGAATGGAGATTTTGCAGTATCCTTTCCCTGCCACACCCACTAAGCCGCACCACGCCCATAAGCCACCACCCGCCCTCTGGAACGAGCTACCCCCAGGAATACGACTGATCCCGGACCTCCGTACTTTCCGTCGAGCTTTGAAGACCTTCCTATTTCAGCAAGCCGGGCTGCCTTAAAATTTTAATGGGTTATTTTATGGGCAAAGGGTTTTAAATTTTGGAAAGCCAATTTGATTTAATTCTGTTTTAATTTATTTTAATTTTTATATTGCATGTATTTTAATCTTGGCTGTTCACCACCCTGAGTCCTTCGGGAGAAGGGCGGTATACAAATTTAATAAACCTAACCTAACCTAACCTAACCTAACCCACAGAACCGATAGTAAAAAAAAATCGAATTTCACCACTGCTCCTTAATTCTCTGATATAAGGATTCTGTTATTACAGGTAGTCCTTAACATATGGCGATTTATACGTTGAGGACTCTCTTGTACTTGTAGATTCTGATGAACGATATGAAAAAAATATATGTGTGTGTATAAAATTGAAAAGATATCTGGGCTTTACAACTGACATCTCCCTCCATTGTTGGCTATCTGGAGGTTCTTCCAGAAAATGTACCCTTTCTTTACTCTCTCTCACATCCTTCTTCATTCTCTTCTCCTTCTCTTTCTTCTCTCTCTCCCCCACTTCCTCCATCTTCATTCTCTTTTCTGTCACTGGGTTCCTGGGCAGAATTCTGCTATTTTCAGATTCTATTCAAAAGTTGGACCACAACATGCATCCATTTCCTGCTTCCTTCATTGCTATTTCCTATCCCTCATTAAAGCCAATAGAAATAACAATGACCCCAAATTAGTAACACCAGGAAACTCTTCCTGAATATCAGTTTTCCAAAAGCTCCTTCTGAGAACTTGCTTTTAATCATCTTTTCCCCCTTTGGATTTTCTTGGGGAAATTCTTCAAAGCATGTCTCATCTTTCGTCAACCAATTGTTCCCAAACTTCCTCTTCTTCTAAGGATTCTCAGTAAACGATATTTATGGACTGTTATCATTTAGGCTGAATCTTCAAATACTTCTACGATGCTGAGAATTATATGCCCTTCTATTTACTGAGGACTTTTGAGTTTTAGGGTGAGATTTTATGCCTGCGCAGAGCTTCAGCTGCTGTACTGGTTTGTACTGCGCCTGTATACACAAAATGTCCTAACTGTGATGTAAGCAGTGAAGAAGTACAGAGTTCTCCAGAGGAGGCATATTTTCTCAAGAAGGCATGGTTTGACCTCTTCACTGTACAGTTCAAAGCAGTTTCCTTTTTCCTCATCTGGAAATATTCTTCACTGACTCATGAAGGATGGTTAAATGCCATTGACTGTCACAAAGAAATTGACAACTATATAGGAGTGCCGTAAAAATTCAGGGAAAATAATCTAATTACCCCACATTCGGATATGAAAAATATCCTTCCGTCACTTTGGGTAATCCCAAAGCTGCTTTTTTCTTCTTCTTTTTTTTTTCAGGAGGCAACTGGACTTTGTTTTTTCTTTTGAAAAAAGGTGACAAGTCTTTTGCGACTTTCTGACAAGCAAAGTCAACGGAGATACCAGATTCACTTAACAACCGTGTTACTAACTTAACAACTGCAGGGATTCCCTTAACAACTGTGGCAAGAAAGGTCATAAAATGGGGCAAAACCCACTTAACAAATATTTCACTGAGCCACAGAAATTTTGGGCTCAAATGTGGTCGTAAGTTGAGGACTACCTGTATAGTCCATACTCCTATTAATCCTAATGAAGATGCAGTCTGTTGCCTAATTAACTAGGCTGAATGATTTTTTTAAAGTCTGGAAATGTCCAGGTAATGTTCGGAAGTGGCTCAGATACCTCCTTAATTCTCTGAATTATAAGGATGAGCAATCAGTCTTGTAAAATTCTGTTATTGCAGGTAGTCCTTAACGTATGACGAGTCACTTAGCAACCACTCAGTGTTCCAACAGATCCATCTGGGGAATATTCATGACCTGTATTCAAAGTTCTGATGGTCAAGCGCCCCTCCCTGCCCAGTGCCTCAGATAGAAAGTCCATACAGAGAGTGGTAAGGACAGCCGAGAAGGTTATAGGAACCTTGTTTCCCATTATTCAGGATACTGATTAAAAGCACTATGTGCTTAGAGACCTAAGCATTGTTAGAGACCCCACACACTCACTTCACTGTCTGCTTCTGTTGCTCCCCTCTGGGAGGAGCTTTCAAAGTATTTCTAGCAGGACTTCCAGATTCTGTAACAGCTTTGCTCCCTATGCCATCCGTCTGGCAAATTCGCAAGATTTGTTTTTCTCGCCACGTCCATGTATACATCCGAACTAAACTGTGCTGTTTCTCTGGGTCATATGTGGGTACATCCATAATTTTGTATTCATTTATTTTTTCATCTTGTCAGGTTTATGTAGTGCATATATTGGAGGTGGTGACCCTTTGAGAGCTGCATGCAACGAAATTTCATTTTAATGTATGCCGATTAGCGTACATTCAAAGTGACAATAAAGTTATTCTAAGTTCTAAGTGATCCCAATGAAGGTGCAGTCTGTTGCCTAATTAACTAGGCTGAATGATTTTTTAAAGTCTGGAAATGTCACATGATCACATGAACACTTTGGGCACTTGGCAATTTGAGCTGCGTTTATGGCCATTTTTTAGTATCCCATCATCACGTGATCATGTTTTATGAACTTTTTGTTCAAAATGGCATTTAACTTATGGTTATGCTGCAAAATCACACCCACGGTGAACCACTGGTTCAATTAACAACTGCAGTTTTGCTTAAAGACCATCCTGATTCGTTTAACCACTGCCTCAAAAAAAGGTGGTAAAACTGGGCCACCCACCAGTTTCACAACCATCACGAGTTACAACTGTGGTAGGCAGGCTCCATTATGATAATAACTCGAGAACTATCTGGATAGCCAGTTAGGACAAATGAAGTTTTAGCCTGGTTTCCTGGCCTGGACTAATCAATTGGGGCTCTCATCGAGTGAGGAAGCTGAACTATTGGAGTTTAAATTCTAATCTCTAACTCAGTTCTCTCATGGAAGATAAGGAACTTGGCAAGTGTGGTTTGTAAGATCAAATGACAACACAGCTAGTGGGCATCATATTTTCACTGGCTGAGGTTCAAATCAAGAAATCGATGTGGAGAAGACTGGGGCAGGCTGAATGTGCTGAGCCATATTTTTAAAATGATTTTTTAACAAAGCCATATTGATCTGGCTTACATATGAAACTCAACCACGGGGTATGCATGTGTTCACACATAATTGCCCTCAAGAAAGAATCTCTTTTTAAAAAATCTACTGAAGTTACTCAGTCTGCCCTAAGACATTCAAAAGCAAGAGTTTATAGTTTTGTTTATAGTTTTGTTTTATAAACAGGGCAAGAAAACAGGACATCTTCTCTCTGTTCAAGTATCCTAACACATTTCAGTCATGCAGACCAGTGTTTCTCAGCCTAAGATGTGTGAACTTCAACTCCCAGAATCCCCCAGCTGACATGCCGAATGGAATTCTGGGAGTTGAAGTCCACACATCTTGAAGTACTGGAGGCCGAGAAATACTGATGTCGACAAGCAGCAAGGTTTATTTGGCTGCTTCAGCTAAGCGGTTGAAAGCTTGGGACAACGCTGTGACAGTGTCCAAGATCTGACGGCGATCCTGTTCAGCCAAACGTGTGCCGCAACGTTGTGCAAACTTATCCGGATGCCACAAAGCCTGCTGACGCCGAAGGAAGCGCCGATATGCGCTTTTGTCTGAAGGATCTACGCCACGAAGGGCTGCGGCGGCCATTTCCTCAGGAGTCCCAGTCGAGCTTGGCCAGGGAATGTCCTTGTAACACAATGGACGTGAACTGTCTGAGGAGAAGACATGGCTGCAGCCTTCCTCGTAACGTCTTCTCTTGGCTGCTTGAACCTCTTCCTCCTTGGCTTGGGCACGTTTTAGGTACTCCAGATGCTCTTGTTCCAGGAAGCGCTGGAGTTGAACGGAAGACTTTGGAGGTTCTTTTTTAGGCCTCCGGTGACGCTGTTCCTCTTCTCGCCTACGTTTTTGCCCATATTCTCGGTGTATGCGATCACTCCATTCCTCGAACGTTTCTGAGTTGGGACCAGTGGAGAAATCTTCTGTGAAAGAACAAGGAAATAAGTCAGGGGGTGCATCATGCTCCATGAAGGTCCCTTTCAAATCTAGTTGATGTCACAAAACTCTTACTTTCTAAGACGGTAGAACAAGGGAGCTTCCAAAGCCCCAAATGCTGCAAATTGCTTAAATAACAGTAAAAAGGGTGCTTCAGAAAATGAAAACAAGACAGAATCTCTGGTCAAACTGATTGAGGGGATTGTTTAATTTTTGTTGTGGCCCGTCAGTGGCCTGTGCAGCTAGTAGCTGATTCAGACAGCAAGGAGGCTGGTGTGGTGCTGCGCCAGCAGCCTGGGCAGCTGGCACTCGAGTCAGACAATGAGGAGGCTGTAGAAGATGTGGTGCCAGAGGTGGGGATTCAGCCAGGGCCTTCAGAACCTCCAGAAGCTCCCTTAAGTGAAGAGGATGAGCCTCTTCTCGATGCACGGGCGCACAGAGCTGCCAAAAGGCAGGAGTGGCTCCTCAGGAGAAGGTCTCCTTGAGAGTAAGGCTTGAGGCTAATTGGCCACTCCCTTAGCCTATTTAAGGAGGAACGCCGACTGAAGCAATTTGCAGGGAACAACTCCGTTCACATACTTTCGTGTCTTGTCTTGCTTATCAGCTTCCTGCAAATTGCTTCTGGGCATTCTGCCAACCACAGTAAGCTTTCAGTATTATTCTTTGAATTCTTGGCGGCTGTTAATGCAGTTAATTAACAGCCGTTGTTGTAAAAAAACTGGTTTATTTAATAAACTAAGGTTTGAACGGACTTTGTGTGTGCTGCATGCTTTGGGGTCCGTAGCTGGGGCAGAACAATTTTTTTAAAAAGTCTAGGGGGCTTGACAACTTGGTCTAAGTGGAGATAGCAATAGCACTTACACTTATATATCACTTCATAGTCTTTACCACCCTCTCTAAGTGGTTTACAAAGTCAGCATATTGCGCCCCCCCCCCCCAACAATCTGGGTCCCCATTTTACCCACCTCAGGAGGATGAAAGGCTGAGTCAACCTTAAACCGTTCAGGATCGAACTCCTGGCTATGGGCAGAATTAGCCTGAAATACTGCATTCTAACCACTGCATTAACCCTTCTTAGTGGCAACTCCATGAACTCATCTGTCAGGATCATGGCTCAGGCCTCCACAGGAGAGACCACCTTATGGACTGTGAGATCTTCACTTCTAAGGAAAGTCTAGCTTTACCTTCATGCTGCCATGGGGTCTCTTGAAACTCATCCTCGTATTCATTGAGAAGCTTGCGTCTCCACTCTCTCTCAGCCTCACATTCAGCCTCATTTTCCTCAAGTGTTTCCTCAGGGCACTGTGGGGAATTAAAATATATCACTCTTTGTCTGGGAGAAGAGAAGAAAACCAAAACAGTTGATGATCCTTCCTTCTTCCTTTCCTTTCACTTTCCTCTCCTCACCCCTCTTTCCTTTCCTTTCCTTTCCTTTCCTCTCCTCTCTTTCCTTTCTTTTCCTCTCTTTCCTTTCCTTTTCTGTCTCTCCTTTCCTTTCCTTTTCCCTTTCCCTTTCCCTTTCCTCCTTCTTCAACCAATAAGAAACACATAAGGTTATACAACAATGATGATCCTAAAATATTATCACAAAATATAAAAGTAATAACGAATAAAATAAATGATATGGATCTTTTTCTCTTTCTTTTCTCTCTCCCCCCCAACTCTCCATTAAGTTTTCATTCCTTTCAAGTTTCGACCATCCCTGCGTACTGATACCCTTACTGATGGATTACTGATACCCATTTCTCTTCTGCTGCTGTGTTCAAGAGATCTCCCGGGGTCTTCCCAGCTCTATTCTTGATGCTCATGGCAGATGGACAGTGGATTCGCAAAGGTATAAACAGATTTTCATACACTGAAAAGAAAAATCAACGTTAACGATTAGCGCCACTTAGTGGCTTCTGAGTAAATTGCAGCAAGTTGTGTTTGAATTTATTTATTTATTTATTTATTTATTTATTTATTTGTTTGTTTGTTTGTTTGTTTGTTTGTTTATTTATTTATTTATTTATTTATTAAATTTATATACCGCCCTTCTCCTTTCGGACTCAGCGCGGTGAACAGCCAAAATAAAAACATTTGTACACAAAAGTTAAAATAATTATTAAAACTAATTAAATGAAATTTGGCCCATAATTTAAAACAAATCAATTAAAATCAGTATCAACTGTTAAAACCAACATGGAATCAGGCCAGCCCGGCTAGCTGAAAAAAGTAAGTTTTTAGGGCCCGACGAAAAGTCCGGAGGTCTGAGATCACTCGTATTCATATGAATACGAGTGATCTCAGACCTCCGGACTTTTCGTCGGACCCTAAAAACTTACTTTTGCTACACCCACTATAAATACTGTAGTAAAACAGGCTTCTCTTACAAAAACCAGCATATTAAGACTATTGAGCAAAGTGCCTCACAAACCTTTAAAGTCTAATAATATAACTGCATAATTAGTATAACTCTAGTAAACCACAAACTCCTTCATTAGATGCACAGAGCATTATATAATTTTTGGTTGCCCCCTTAACGAATCTAATGAATTGGAGTGTGGTCTATGAAAGCTTATGCCATAGTACAGCAGTTTATTTTAAAAGTGTCAAAAACATTCGCTCAGCAATTCATGTTCACGAGCATTTACTACTTTCTCTTCTGTGACACAGGAACAAAAAAAAAATGATATAAATAAGGAGAAAACGTAACCAGAATTTGTGTTCCTCTCCGAATCTTTTCATATACCTCCACTTTTTCTGGAAGAAGACAAATGCTAGATAATGGGAACTAAGGAAAAATACCCTTGAGAACAGATGGAATACCTAAAGCTATGTTTTGCCTCCTAATCTTGTAAAGATTTCTATGATTGTTTTCCTAGTTACCATATTTTTCGGAGTATAAGACACACCTACCTTTTTTGGGGAGGAAAACAAGGGAAAAAAATCTGCCTCTGCCTCCCAGCAATTTGCCTCATTGCAGCAAACAGCAAACAGCCTGCTTTAGTTTCATTTTTATTTTCAGCACAGCCTGATTAGCACAAGAAAAAAAATCCCGGCAATAGGCAATGGCAATCCCTGCAGCCTGAAACAACTGAGGGTCGGGAGGCCGATAATCAACTGCTTGTGCTAATCAGGCTGTGCTGAAGCTGAAATGGGCTGTTTGCTGCAAGGAGGTAAATTGCTGGGAAGCAGAGGCCAAAGGGTGGGCGCGGCTACATTTGGTGTATATGACGCACCCAAATTTCCTCCCTCTTTTAGGGGGGGGGCGGAGAGTGCATCTTATACTCCGAAAAATACAGTAATTGTATTTGCTAACTTATACAGATAGTCCTAGACTTACAATCACAATTGGGTCAGAACTTCCTTCGCTAAGCAATTCCGTCATTAAATGAGCCATGCTTGATTTTATTACCTTTTTGACACAGCTGTTAAGCAAATTACCGTGGCTGTTAAGCAAATCCCACTTCCCCCATTAAACTTTACTTGTTGGAAGGATCCTGGGAAGGTTGCAAGTGATGATCACATGACCCAGGGATGCTACATATGTCTTAAATATGTGAAAGTCTGTAGGGATTCTCAGTCATCCAGGTCATGGTTGTCCCAAAGGTGCTTTTTTTTTTCAGGAGGCAACTGGAGTTTCTTGTTTTTTGTTTTGAAGACATTTCGCTTCTCATCCAAGAAGCTTCTTCAGCTCTTCAGCTCTGACAACCTTCCATTCTCCACTGTCCTGTCAGAGCTGAAGAAGCTTCTTGGATGAGAAGCGAAACGCCTTCAAAAGAAAAAAAAAACAGGAAAGTCCAGTTGCCCCTTGAAAAAAAGAACCTTTGGGTCTTAAATATTTGCTGGTTGCCTAAATATTAATCATGTGACTGTATGGACACTGTTAACAGTTATAACTGTGAGGAATGGTCATAAGCCACTTTTTCCACTGCTGTGGTAACTTCAAACAGTCACTAAACAAATGGCTGTAAATTACAGACTATCAGTAGCCCTCTTTAGTGCTTCAAGACACTTCATGGCGGGGGCAGGTGTTTCCTCCAATCATGTTATCATTAATATTTTATTTATTTATTTATTTATTTATTTATTTATTTATTTATTTATTTATTTATTTATTTATTTATTTATTTATTTATTTATTGGTTCGATTTATATGCCGCCCAGGGCGGCTTACAATGCGTTAAGCAATAGCCTTCATACTTTTGTATATACCTGCTTATAGGGCTTTCGGGCCCCCCCAAGCAGTGTTTTTTTTTTTATACAAAGTCAGCTTATTGTCCCCACAAACCGGGTCCTCATTTTACCTACCTCAAAAGGATGGAAGGCTGAGTCAACCTTGAGCCTGGTGAGATTTGAACTTGCAGAAATTGCAGGCAGCTGGTGTTACTTAGTAGCACTTTAGTCTGCTGCGCCACCAAGGCTCTTATCACTCCAATAACAACCTTGCAAGGAATGTTTGGCTAGGTTGGGCATGATAGACCATAACTCACCCAGTGAGTATCTACAGCTGAAGAGGGAGTGGAATCTGGATCAGGTGGAGGCATAATAAAAGATTGTTGTTCGAGGAAAAAAAATGTGAAAAAGCACTGTGTGCTTTGAGTTTGAGTTCCTAAGTGAAATGTAATTCTGTATGTACTTTTAACAAATAACCTAATGCTCCAAATGAAGCTTCTACCATTGATTCCAGTGAGGGCCTCGTGGTTTCCACCCAACGCTGGAAGTTCTTAAGAAGATGTTGGATAACCATTTGTCTGAAGTGGTGTAGGTCTGAAGTTTCCTGCCTAAGCAGGGGGTTGGACTATAAGACCTCCAAGGTCCCTTCCAACTCTGTTATTCTATTCTATTCTATTCTATTCTATTCTATTCTATTCTATTCTATTCTATTCTATTCTATTCTATTCTATTCTATTCTATTCTATTCTATTCTATTCTATTCTTATTACACAATTGAGCAAAAAATAGGAATGGTTCCCAGATGAATCCTTTACACCTAAGGGGCATCTCCAAGGCTCCTTCCAACTCTGTTGTTCTATTCTAGTCTATCTCAGAACAATACAGAACATTAATTTTTGCAACAGACAATCTGTCCTATTGGTATTTACTATCTCCCTATAGCACAGTAGATGAGAGATCTCCATTTCTTGGAAGCAGATGCCCTTGTATTTTAACTAAGCCGCAAAACAAAGTTTTAAAGCTTCGTCTCACCACGATCTCCTCCACGTGCTACGTGCCGGGCAGCCAAATGCAGAGCTGTGTCCCCACGGTGGTCTGGGAGAGAGGGGTCTGCCCCGTACTTCAACAAAAGGATGGCAGCTTTGTGGTCCAGGAGGGCACAGCATCGGTGCAAGGGTGTCTGGTTTTTGTGCCCCTTCGTTTCGCCCAGGTCCAAGACTTCTCTGTGATGCCTCAGGAGCCTGTGCAACTTGTGACGGCGGCCGCGTTCCACGTAGCGCCATAAGCGGCGCTGGTACCTCAGTGTCATGGAACCAGATGGGCAACAGAAGATGTTCACCAATGAGCCTGAGGAAAATACAATATCAATCTCTCTGTCTCAGCCCAAACCACCTTACGAAAACAAGCAGCAATATTAGATATGTCTCCTGTCTTAAGTTTGTGTGTGGGTGTGTGTGACTGTGGGTGTGTATGTGAGAGAGAGAGAGGGAGGGAGGGAAGGAGGTAGAGGAAGAGGGAGAGAGAAAGGATTGAGGTTGGAATTAGGAAAGTTTGTTAAAGGAATTGCTGAGGCAGAAAATTGCAGCTGTGATGTGTGTAACAAATGGTGGGATACTACTGCCTAGCACAAGAAAGTGACAAGTTAAATAATGGAATAAAGACTTAATGAGTATTATATGAAGTAATAAATAAATGTAAGGAAGTTTTGAAAATGGAAATAATTTTGAAATACAAATATATTTGAACTGTATTGTTAATAGTAAGGATTTAGGGTAAGAATTGTGAAATGTATTATGAGGAAATAACTGAATTAAGATTTAAGGTGGGTTAATAGAAGGGTAATTGCTTTGATTAGGTAAATATGAGTAAACTTTTTTTTATAAGATGGTATTAGTTGTGATATGTGATTTAAGATTAAGAAATGAAGTGTTATGGCAAAATAGAATATCTAAAATTTTTTGTTAAAGATGACAAAAAATTGTACAAATTGATGACCGGATCAGGGCTCTGTTCCGAAAAGATGTAATTTGTGTGTTTGGAAAAAAATAAAAAAAACTTTTTGCAAAAAAGAAGAAGAAGAAGAAGAAGAAGAAGAAGAAGAAGAAGAAGAAGAAAGTGACAAGTTAGAAGGACATGCTAGAAGAATGCTATAGCTAAGGCACGTAGATATATATAAACTTTGATAACCTAGATTATTATAATAGTAAAGCACTTTTGATAAGGCAGCTTATTAACATAGACATGCGATGTATGGAGGGTAAAATTGAAGAATCCAATAAAAAGAAATGTGTATCAAGGAACCAATAAGTGAATTTTAGGGCATTAACTTCCTTACTCATAACCGTATAAAATTTATGTTTGTGCATTGATTGAGGCCTTGGCTCCTTTAGCTGCTGAGACCCTTTGGCTGGACTACTCCAATAAAAGAAGCTGGAAATGTCATTCCTCATGTCTGGTGATTTTTATTGGGTTTGGCGCCAGGCTAGGACCCATTTTGGGTACAGTATCTGTGTATGTGTATATAGTAAAAAAATAAAATAAAATATAAATATTTTCTGCTGAAATGTTCATACCGTAGATATGCTAGTCAGAATGGAATAGATATACTTTATAAAAATATAAAATAACAATAAATAGTTCTGCAAGTCATGAAAAGCACCCACTGGGTTAGCAGAGACTTCCAACTCCATCACCTCTCCATGCAGAATGCCAAAATTCCTTCTCCGGGCTCAGTAATGGGAGAAAGGAGAGTGAGTGATTATGGGGGAAAAGGCCACCTAGAACTGATGAACCCCCAAATTAATCAAAACATCCTTGATCTTCCTAGACCAGCTACAAGGAGGGTATCACTCACCCTTTAAAAGAAACACCATCCTAACTCCTGCTGTTTTGGGAATTGCCTTCAGGCACCTTCACCCATGCATCCCTGTTTTACTCACCCTTCTTCTGCCTTTGAAGCAGAACCCTCAACTCTTATCATTCCACCATTCTTAATATAAAATGTGATCCTGAACCTCATTGAGAGGGAATTGACTCTATTATGGTTACAAAGGCCCAGTTATAACACCAAAGACTTTGCCAGGCTCTGACTACTGATATACCAAGTACCAAGTTAAGCTATAGCAGCAGAAGAAGAAAGCCAGCCAGTTTCCATGATCTCGAGCACACAACTACTATTTTCAAGAAGAACATCAGAAATCACTTTGAGGTCCTGAACCTCACTGAGAGGGAACTGACTCTATTATTGGTACAAGGATTCAGTTATAGCACCAAAGACTTGGCCAGGGTAGAAGAGGCCACAAACTGCTCATATACCAAGTACCAAGTTAAGCTAAAGCAGAAGCAGAAGAAAGCCAACTGTGATCTTGAGCACACAACTGCCATTTTCAAAAACATCAGGAATCGCGTTGAGGTCCTGAACTTCATTGATAGGGAACTAGAGGAACCGCGGAATGAAATCAAAGAAGTTAAGGAGGAATGTGAAAAGAGAGACTGCCAAAGATCAAGAATTAGGGAAAGGAATCCAAAACACGGACAACTGCCAGCCTTAGCAATAACAATGAAGGAACTGAAGTGATAAATAGCTAGGTCTTCATTTTTCACATCTGTGTGCATCAGCGCGAACAGGGACCGGGGAGAGAATAGCTGGCACGGAAGGGAAACGGAGGCAAAGCTCCCTAGGCTTCTGGGTTGCTATCCTGCCCTATTTGTAAAAGGGTTGAAAAAGTACATGTTCAATTCAAATCACTTCCTTGCTCATGAGTGATTGCCAATTTATGATCTAAACCACCCCTTCCTTCCTTCCCCGTGTTAATCCAATTACGATTCCCAAAATGGTTATGACACATTTACCTCTTCAAGTGAGTTTTGATCAAACATTCATGTTATTTTTCTGCAAGTCCGGGTGCTCAAACTGCCCAAGGAGCTGCTAATACAGTTCTACAGAGGAATTATTGAGTCTGTCATCTGCATCTCTGTAACTGTCTGGTTTGGTTCTGCAACCCAACAAGACAGACACAGACTTCAGAGGATAATTAGAAGCAGAAAAAACAATTGCTACCAACTTGCCTTCCATTGAGGACCTGTACACTGCACGAGTCAAAAAGAGGGCTGTGAAAATATTTACAGACCCTTCACATCCTGGACATAAACTGTTTCAACTCCTACCCTCAAAACAATACTATAGAGCACTTCACACAGAACAACTAGACACAAGAACAGTTTTTTTTCCAAACGCCATCACTCTGCTAAACAAATAATTCCCTCAACACTGTCAAACTAGTTACTAAGTCTGCACTAATATTAATCTTCTCATCGTTCCCACCACCCATCTCCTCCCACTTATGACTGTATGACCATAACTTTGTTGCTTGTATCCTTAGATTTATATTGATACTGTTTCCTGATTGCTTATTTGTAACCTATGACTATCATTGTGTTGCACCTTATGATTCTTGATGAACGTATCTTTTCTTTTATGCACACTGAGAGCATATGCACCAAGACAAATTCCTTGTGTGTCCTATCACACTTGGCCAATAAAAAATTCAATTCTTTCGAACAGATGTCCAATTGGAATTGCTTCCTTGCTCACGAGTGATAATCCAATTTATGATGTAAATCAGGGGTCCCCAACCTTGGCAACTTTTAAGCCTGGTGGACTTCAACTCCCAGAATTCCCCAGCCAGCAAAGCAAATCTGGCTGGGGAATTCTGGGAGTTGAAGTCCTCCAGGCTTAAAATTGCCAAGGTTGGAGATCCCTGATCTAAACCACCCCTTCCTTCCTCGTGTTAATCCGATTACGATTCCCGAAACGGTTATGACACACTTACCTATGCAAGTGAGTTTTGATCAAACATTCATGCTATTTTTCTGCAAGTCCGGATGCTCCTTAAAAGCACAGCATTATTTGTGCTGCATTTAGTTCGTTGAAATGCACCTTTTCTTTATTTTCATACTGGATTCCCGGGCAGTTAATTTCTTCCCCTTCCCCTTCCTTTTCCTCCCACCCCAATCCAGAGCACCCCTCTCTTTTAACACATCCTCCCTTCTTCCATAAATCGAGATTACCTTAGCAAATTTCTAGTTGATACACAAAAGCGCCCGGCTTTCATACAGGAAATGGAATAAATAAGAGGCAAGTAAGGGCGGAAGTGGCTTCAAGCAGTTCTTTAAAACATCAGCGACGGTGTTTGTTCGTGCCCGTACTTGGTGTTCGGCGTTTTAAGAGTCCGACTAGGAAACCAGAGCTGGAAGCAGAAAGCAGGCGGTTGGGGAGGGAAGAAAAGCAGCAGCGAGGTAATGTTGGTAACCCTAAACTTTCTCGAATCGTATGGCCTCCAGATGTGTTAAAAGTGCAGTCTCCACCCTTCCCAGCAAGCGAACATATTGTGAGATGAAAGGAATGGGAATTAGAAACTTCCTGTGTGTTTGAATCACTGAGCTCAGAAAGGTCGGCAGTTCGGCTGTTCGAATCCCTTAGTACAGGTCTCCTGCGTGAGCAGGGGGTTGGACTAGATGACCTCCAAGATACCTTCCAATTCTGTTACTGTTACTATAGCCGGGCTGCAAAATGAGATGCTCTTGCAAACAGGAGCAAATGGATAGGAAAAAATAAATTTTCATACTGATGCCATCTATTGGTTACCCAGGTTTTTTTTTTTTAACCCAAATATGGTAGTCCTTAAAGACATGGGTTTGGGATTATCTCAGTATATCTGCTTATCTGCCAAAACGAAATGTGAAAATTAGGAGTAGAATAAGATGGGGATTCATGCTGAAGATGAAGACTTCCAAGCCACTGTTGTTTGAAATAGCAGATTTGTGTGTGTGTTTGTGGTTAAAGCAGACAAAAACACAAATCAAGGTACTATTTCCTTTTGGACAGGCAGGATTGTGTAGAACACAGAAAAGAAACAGTAAACCCAAGAAACTACATGCCTGAAAGAAGAAAGGGAGGAGAAAGAGAATAGAAAATATAACTAAAAGTGCTTTACAGCAATACAATTCACTGTATCTCTACTTTTCTATCCTTTCAAATAGCTTTAGAATGGAATGTGCTTTCCTTCCTGGCAACCAAGAACATGTTGTCCATTTTCTACACTGGCATGTCTTGAACTTTCTCATTCTTCCATTTACTCTATTTTCTTTTTGCCATTTATATTAATTAGCAGAGATATCTTCCATTTCCCATATCACCTCAATTTACCTTGCTATTTGAAATGATAATTTTCAGATTCACGCTTTTTATTTTATACAATGAAATATATAGAACTTAAAAGTTCTTATCAAACAGTGTAAAAAAAAAACATTTGGATGTCTATAGGATGCACTAAAGAGCCTTGGTGGTGTAGCAGACTAAAGCACTGTTAAGTAACACCAGCTGCCTGCAATTACTGCAAGTTCAAATCTCACCAGGCTCAAGGTTGACTCAGCCTTCCATCCTTTCGAGGTAGGTAAAATGAGAACCCGGTTTGTGGGGGCAATAAGCTGATTTTGTATAAAAAAGAACACCGCTTGGGGGGGGGGGGGCAAAGCCCTACTAAGCAGGTATATACAAAAGTATGAAGGCTATTGCTTAACACCCTGAGTCTCCAGAAAAGGGCGGCATATAAATCGAACCAATGAATAAATAAATAAATAAATAAATGTTATCAAAAGGTACTGCATATATTATCTACTCTTCTAGTTCTAAGTGGTTTATAACCTATGAGTTTCAGGTTAAAAGAATGTATTTCCAAGTAGCTGAAGTAACATGCAGTGGGTCAACCCATTATTTTCACCCCCAATTCCACAAAATAGTTCAGATTGTGAAGTTTATTATTTATTCATTTTTAAGGCATGTAAAGCATGCGTTAACCTGTATAAAGTCAAAGAACCAGTTGTTTCTTCTTTCCCCCCCGCCTATGGATTTCTTCCCTGTTTCATTCTGTTCTCTGCTACATAGCAGTCCAGTGCTTCTCGACCTTGGCAACTTTTAAGATGTATGGACTTCAACTCCCAGAATTCCCCAGCCAGCATGGAAATTCTGGGAGTTGAAGTCCACACATTTCAAAGTTGAGAAAGGCTGAATTAGACTGAAAAGAGAACAAGGACTCAGTGGCTGGTCACACCATATGTTAAATAACAAAGTGGCCAAGACTTACAGTACCCAGAGCCAATGTCAATATATTCAATAAACCATGATTAATTAAGATATGCTTTATTATGATGCATAATAACTCATAGCTGGGTATGCCCTTATCAGGATCACCAACTGTCCCAAAACGGTTCAAAGATCAAAGTTCATGTAAGTACGGAGGTTGCGTTCCCAAGCTGCGGCCTTGGCCTCCCTCCGGCGGGCCTCCCGTTTTCCCACTGTTGCTGCTCGTTCTTTTCTGGATTGTCGCTTCATAGGTTCCTCTATAGCGCAACGGTCATTAGGTCTGAAGTGGGTAACTTTGGGTTTGAGGTTACTGCAGAAGCCGAGGCCCTTCTGATCTCTCTTGAGGACAGTCTTAATAGGGAACTTGCGACCTGCACCGCTTGGCCCCAGTCCTGTTTCTTTATCCCAGCCACCTTTCACCATCAATTGGAAGCCCACGTTATTCTCAGGGATGCAGTACCGGGTGGAGGGCAACGGGTCACGTCGATTGAAAAGGTGGGCGGTGGAACGCTCGTGGAGAGCCACCGTGTCCTCGGTGTAGTGGGCCTGGCACACTTCGCAGTATTTCCTCTCAGCTGGTAAACTGCAGAAAGAAGGGAAATGATTTGAAACAAGGCAAGCCGCGTTCACACATACTGTAACTTGAGTCGAGCTGAAATATGGAAATGGGCGAGCGAAGCAAGGCTGTAATTTTTTTTTTCCTTGAGAAAAGTTCATCTCTTTTCTGAGAACTCCATGGCTTAGGGCCGGGGTACTTACGGGACCGCCTTCTGCCACCAATTGCCTCCCACCGGCCAGTTCGCTCCCACAGAGAGGGCCTTCTCAGAGTGCCGTCAGCCAGACAATGTCGGTTGGCGACCCCCAGGGGGAGAGCCTTCTCTGTGATGGCGCCTACCCTCTGGAACAATCTACCCCCAGAGATACGAGTGATCCCAGACCTCCGGACTTTTCGTCGGGCCCTTAAAACCTATTTCTTTCAGTTAGCCGGGCTGGCCTGATTTTATATTGGTTTTTAAAATTGATCATGATTTTAATTGAAATACTTTAAATTATGGGCCAAACTTTATTTCATTATTTTAAAACTATTTTAACTTTTGTGTACAAATGTTTTATTTTTGGCTGTTCACTGCCCTGAGTCCGAAAGGAGAAGGGCGGTATAGAAATTTAAATAATAAATAAAACAAATAAACTCTGAGAATAGAACTCTTTTCTATTCATTTTATCTATGAATAGCATTAGATCAGGGGTGTCAAATTCGATTTCATTGAGGGCCGCATCAGGGTTGTGTTTGACCTTGGGGGGGGCATGGCTGTGGTGGGCATGGCCAGCTCGACATCACTCATGTCGGGGGCACCTGTGGAGGCCCAGGCGGGGCTTGGGGGATCCACTGTCTCCAGCGAAGGAAGGCGAGACCAGGGAGAACACCAAACCTGTCATGCCCCTGTCAGAGTCTAAATCCGAAGGGGAAGAGGAACAGCTGACAGAGAGAGAGAGTAGATCCATTGGCTGTGGAAGAAACTGGGGAAGTGCAAAGTCAGGCTGGGCAGAGCAGGAGAGAGGTAGAACAAGGGCAGCACAGGGAGGAATGGAGAAGAGAGCAACATGGGTTGCCTGGCTTACGAGGGAGGAAAGGGACCCGATCCTCTTTACAAGGCACAGGTGCTGATGGAGTTTAAAAGCAGAGGCAAATGAGAGGGGCGTTGGTCAGGAACAAACGCTTGAGTTTATCTGGTGTTTCTTGGAATCCTGGCATCCTCCCATCTGGTCTGATTTATTGCCGTTCTACTTTACTTGTGGAATTCCTTATTGTGCTTGCCCTGCCGGATTAATTACCTTGCCTGGCCTTTGGATTTTTTTGTTAAGAGGTTTTCTGCTTACAACGTTTGGGACTGAAGTATTGCCAGCCAAAGACTATTACAGGTTGGTGGAAGAGCTCTCTCCAGGCCGCAGAGTTGAAAGGGACATTGGGGGCACAGTTGGTGATAATAAAGGGAGTCATATCGGTTCTCTGGCTGTGTTGCCTTTGTGTCATGCCCTGGGTCAGCCACAAAACCCTTCTCCTCCAGAGGAGCCTAGCCATTCCTCTCAGGCCACGTGGAAAGTGGCGCAGGCTGTCTGCTGCCCTAGGCAGAGGAGGACAAGCAAGTTTGTTTTGCTAGCACTCTGGCAGTGAAAACGGAGCTGGGGAGGGGTGCTCCGTTTTCAGCTGTGACGGCCTCCTGCAGCACTCTGCCAACGAAAATGGCTGCCACCAGATTGTAGATCAGTCGGCCTAAGCTGGGCTGAGGCACCGCAGACCAGTCCTTTGCTGTTTCCAGGGCGGCCCGCTGGGCCAGATTTAAGCACCCGGCCGGCTGGATCCGTCCTCCAGGCCTTGAGTTTGACACCCCTGAATTAGACCATGGTAATCTTTTTCAAATTAACCCTGCTTAGGCCAGAGGACTTTGTTCTCATCACAGGTCTTCATTGGTAATAATTATACAGCACAGCAAGAGTCACCCTTCAGAATAAACTCCAGGGGAGGAATTAAATGTTACCTACTTTTATCTAGCCAAACACTGCCCCAAATTCAATAATAAAAATGTAACTAATCTTCATTGATATAGTAGATGCAGCTGAGGGTTACAGGAAGGGCCATATAGTCTTCTATCTGCTGGCACCTGGGAAGAACTACTTATAATTTGGAATGTTCAGTGATGGGTCTTCGCAGACCAGTAACCTGAATTAGTTTAAAACAACCTTACACATATTTAGAGTGATAAAATTTTCATCTATGAACTTGTAAAGGTTACTGAGGGAAGTGATGGAAGAAACAGATTTTTCTAAAGGTCTGGCTACAGTTGGTCACTGGTTATTTGAGTTATCTAAAGCTACTTACACTGTACTTGATCATTTTTTT